AAACGTTCACAAAACCTGATAACCTAGGGTAGGATAATAGTCTTCACAAAATAATGACACTAGGAATAATTACATCGAATAAGTTGATTTGAATCCTGTACTTCTTTACACTGAAAATTGATATACTCCGCGTGAGTTTCTTTTTATCTTACAGCTTAAAAATAGCGTGCTGAGCTGTCCGTATTATCAAATAGTACCCATTTAGATTTCCTCCAAATATAATCAACAAATTGAAGAATCAATCAAAAACTTATATATAAAGAAGATTGCGTTGTCTAAATCCTAGATTTAATAAAACATTCACTATAACCGTCAATAACCTGGGCCGGGTAGGAGAGTCTTCACACGAAGATGACAGCTAGGAAGTAGTTGCTCGAATAAGTTGTTTTGATCCCTGTACTTCTTAATCACTGAAATTGATATACTCCGCGTGAGTTTCTTATCTTACAGCTAAAATAGCGTGCTGGAGCTGTCGTATTATCAAATAGCTACCCATTTAGATTTCCCTCAAATTAATCAACAAATTGGATCATCAAAAAACTTATAATAGAATGAAGATTGAGTTGTCTAAATCCTATAAAACATTCACAAACCTGCAATAACCTGGGCCGGGTAGGGAGTGTCTTCACTAAGATAGATGACAGCTAGGAAAGTATGTTGCCGAATAAGTTTTTTTGATCTGTCTTCTTTATCACTTGAAATTTGATATACTCCTCGTGAGTTTCTTATCTATATTATTATATAACTTTATTCAAATTCTAAAATAGAACAAAATGAACATCTAAAAGATCTATAAGTACCAGAAAAAAAGAAAAAATGATACACAAGCTATAAACAACTTCTTCCATCCCGCTCAATCAGAGGCTAAAAGTCCTTAAATTGTACAAATCGACTGTATTTACAAATGGAATGTTCCCATGCTACCTAAATCAAATTTTAATAGTCTTAAGCAAGTTCGACTGGTGTCTACCTACTCTACCCTTTTTAGTACTCTGACTCTCTACTGTCAAAGTGTAATGCAAGCTGTGCAGGTGAGTTGTTATCACTGCGAAGGACATGTCCGAGCATCCTCATCGTGCACTGCCAACACGACTCACTGAGAGGAAACCACCTCACATCTCTTGTAAAGGGTGTCGTTTTGATTATAATAGGGTAAGTCATCCTGATGAATTTGCCTCAGATGCTTTCTGTGGCAGATAATCCAGTTTTACTCCGTAGCTGCCTTGAATTCTGCCCCAGCAGCTACATTATTCATTAAATTAGACGGAGACCACCTGGGCCTTCGTAGATCTTAAAGTCTGGTCTTAAGAGTATGCGTTTACCTTGGTTCCCAACTTTCTTGTAGCTCACGTTTGGAAAGCAAGATTTGCCCAGAATACATCGTCTTTTTTAAGTCCTCTTTGCTGCACAATTTGGAACAGTGAGATAGATGATCTCCAGGCTCTCTTCCTCGAAGTGGCCTCTCCGTTGGTCATCAACTTCGTTCTTCTCGGCCAGATAGATAATGTGGAACTCTGTTTTTGATTCGTTGACAAAAAGATTCCACTCTCCAATATCTCCTTGCATTTTGGTAACATGGACTCCTAATTCTTTTTATCCTCGTCCTGTGAAGTCTGAGCGCCTGCGTACTCCCGACTCAAGAGGTAGCAGGTTTTTCACAACGAGAGGGTTTGGGTCTTAGATAAGACATTAAAGCACGAAGGTGTAAAGTCGCCAGCCATACAGGGTGAAAAGGGTTTCCAGACAAACTATCACCTTTAGCTACTGCTTAAAAAGCGTGCTGGAGCTGCGAATTATAAAAGATACTAATTTTGATGTCCTTCGAATAAATCGAGGAATTAATTAACTGATATTAACTAGTAATAAGCTAATATTGTCCGTCAAGAAGAACGCTCAACAGCCTGCCTTGCATATATCAAGATTAACTGCCAGGCAGCCGATCCCCGACGGATCACAGCGAGGGGACGGAGCCCGGGAAAAAGGTTTGATAAAATTGAAGTATTTTGGCCACATTATCCGGCATTCTGGGCACATACATAGCCCTGTAGAAATACATAAGTAGATTTGTGAAAAACATTTCATGCAGGCAAGGCTATCGCCAGGGGAGGCTTTCGCCTTCCCGCCTCATGCTAGCTACGTGGCTGATAAAGAACCAATTGAAGAGAGCGATTGAGTTGTCTGAATACGTATAACATGCCACAAACCTGAAACTTGAGTAGGATACAGCTTCACAGAGGAATTAGGGAAATATTTTCTTCTCATAGTACGTCTTTTTCAAATTTTTCTTAAAAATTCAGTCACTGAAAACATTTACCGAACATAACCGAGTATTTGAAGTAAATGACGGCCTCCATGTTTAGTGTATGGATTAAATCTGTAGGTTTAAAAAAATTTCTTCATTGGTATAAGATTTTACATTATGTAGTAAGTTACACGAAACAAACCGAAACACTTTACTTTAACTACCCCGCTTCAAATAAATATTTCATGATTTGAACTAGGCCCAGAATGTTGTTGAGTTATATTACTTGAGAAAACCCTTTACAAATACAATTTCCACGTAACCGCCTGCAAAGAAGTTATAAATGTCTCGTCACAAAGATGCGTCGAATTAAAACAAGCTAACTATCGCTGGCCAGGTTTAGTGTAAGCTTGACAGTTACAAAGACACGAGATCGAGAATGAAGAAATGCAGTCACACACGTGCTGCAACGGACCAACGAACCATTCTGATGTAGATTGCAGGTATGTAGAGTAACGGAACTTGATATAATGCGTCACGTTCTCTTCACGTGACCCGTCCGAGAAAGCTGCAGAAATACCGAGTTTAATGTCAGCAGGAAAGGTAACGTGAGTGTAACGGACATTTTATTATAATCATAGAAACACTCCGGCCGTGTTATATTACCCTACCTTACACGAAATGAGCTATTAATACACATAATATGACGGTCCAAGACGTTGAGTGCTACAAAAAGGGTTTATTCTCGACAATCTTAAAACGTATGGCTAACGCTAGTTAGCGCTAATTAGCGATTGAAATACTTAACCTAGACTTAGATTACGTACGTACATTTATGTTAAAATCGTGCATTTTTTGGGCTTTTTTGCTCTAGTAACTCTATAATAAACACATGTTTGATACTGTTACTGTCAGTTTGAGGTATACTCAGAGAAGAGATCCTGCACTCGGTGAGTTAAATGGTGTTTTTGGCTAAAATGTGGGCTCTGCTCCGACTGTCACGAAAAAAGAGCGTAAGGAAGGTACTTTTTATACCTTACCAGTACATAATAAAATGCATCTTTCTTATAATATAACTTTCGCACATTGATCAACCATGACACATGTGCTTTCGCGCCTCTTGTATCCGTTGCGACCCCCACGGTCCGTTTCACTTATGGTGACGATACAGTGGGAGCCGCGCCACGCGTGCGCGGCGGGTCATACAACGTAATGACAAAGTTATACAGGTTAAAGGAAAGTGCAGTGATTTTTCTAGTGTATAACTATAACTTTTCTGTTAAAAATCAGGATTAAATATTTAGATAAATTAACAATCCATTAACTGTATGGACTCATTAATGATTTCGTTTTACAGGAATCGGGAATCCCTGATATATGAGTCTTCGTTTTCACCATAATCCTGTGCTCTATCTGCATTTGCTTGGCAAACGCAAGACCAAAAAAAGTGAACTTTGATCTCACACCAAGATCTTCATGGCAAACTTCAAATAGATTTTGAACGAAAGGTTTAATAACAATGTTATTGTCAATCCAAGACTTGAGACTGAAGACGATAGTGCGCGAAATTGATTGAAGTGTGAATAGAGAAAACTAGTCTCCCCTCGCCAGTCAAAACATTATTAGATACCAAATTCTGCTAATTACCTAAAATGAACGAAATGATAGTCTGCTCTAATTTAATTAATACTAAGAGTTCATCAACTTAAGAGACACCAGAATGTGTGTGTGTCCTGGTGTTGGTGTCTGTAATTTCCGAACGTTAAACAAAAAAAAAAAACGTACTAGTGTTATGGGACTGGTTTTTTTCGGTATAAAGGCTGACAAAACTCTGACGAAGCCCATAAGCTAATTTTAATATAATCGGCCGGTGGTAAATGGTTAAATGGATGATTTAGATCCAGATAATGTGACATAAATGGATGGAGAGAGAACGAGGAGATAACATGTACTAATTAGTTGAGCCCACGTTATACTATATAAAGCTTAGAGGCTCACGTCTTGCGCCGGCTTTGTTTCACCTGTAGGGGAGATTTCTCATAACTTTCAATAAGAACAGCGTTATCGTGATATCAAATATATAATGCGGTTGTATACTTTACCTTGCAACTGTGACAGTAACGTCCCTGGCCGAAGGCACGGTTTTACACTAGTATAAATATATAAGATATACAATTGTTTGTATCACATTAAAGTCGTATGTAGAAGTTATTATTCTGCGACTTAACAATAACTTGAATGAATTCACTAATAGAAATTTCACTCTAACTTCCAGTAATACAACTATATTTTAGTTACTGCATATTATTAAAATTTTTTGAAGGACTAATTGAAATTCTATATTTTAATAACGTTAATTTGATACTTCTAAACTGTTTTTTACTTTTAGGTGTACAAACTTTATTACCTTATAGTTATACCAAAACATACTACATAGTTTTGTTCTGGATGATGATGAATAATCACTCTAACACTCGACTGTCACGTGACTAATTTTTCGAAACAGCGTTCTCTAGCTGGTCCTAAGCGACTATTCGAAACCCTAACCCTCCTAATCTGATCCCAACCCTAACCTAACCCAATCTCAACAAAAAGCATCAGCTCTAACCTTACCCTAACGAGGAAATTATTCTAACTTCTTTATAACCGGTCATTCACGTTGGATCGAAGACAGAAGAAGGGATCGCAATATCTCGTCAGGGGACCATTTTAACCCTGTTGTCATTGCCAATAAAATATTTCAGTTACTCGACGCCAGGCTCCCAGAAGTTGCGGTCTTCAGTTCACCCTTACTGTTCTACTGCCTCCATGGAGAACTCCCCTGATGAGGTGAAATTAACGCACTTTACCGCATTTTTATCACCACACTTTTTTATTTCCACATTTGCACAAAAGAAGTTTGAATTGTATACAGCTTAACTGCTCTATCCACCAAAACCAATCTCGGATTTGTCATTTCAAATGTCAAGAGTAAATTGCTTTTTGAAGGCGGCACTGCCTTATAACCCATGAGATGCAATCCTCTTAGTCTTACAGCTTAAAAAAAGAATTCACATAAATTCCCGTTTATCTTTTTTGAGATTTTTCTTCCCCATATACATGTATATTGCGATTTCTAAGATTGTTTATCATTTCTAAGATTGTTAATCATGTGAAGCACGGTGGCCATTGCAATTTTAAATGTCATATTTCAAACTGGTATTCAAGTTATGTAATATGTAGTTGTGATTGTGAATTGGGTATTAAAGCGTTATTCTTGCCGTTGTGGTGTCAAGCGATATTAATCCTCCCCTTGGTTAACGAGTCAGAATGAACGATTTACAATTGAGTCTACATATTGGAAGGATCAACTTAAAGGTGTCCTAATTCTGCAGTGGGGAAAGGATAGTCTATCCCTCGACCTTGTATCCTTTGACGTTGAAGAATGCGATCTGTAGAGTGATGTTTAAGATGTGGTTTAAGGATTCGTTGGGAGCTTAATGGTGGAATAAACATCTGTAAGATGAAAAGACATAAACACCGGTTTTAAATAGTTAGATTGTTTAGCAAGAGCTTAGAGCCGTATTATAGTTAGCTGATGCCGAGGAGTTGACTGGAACACCAGTTTAAAGTAAAACCCCGGCCTTCAAATTACTTCATTTGGCGATCTTATACTTTATGAACCGGACTCCGGAGCTAAGATCATGATCATATTTCATACAAACTTTACAAATGCGTCATTAGACTAACGACTTCCGGACTTCCTGTAGCAGGAGATGTGTTAACATGTGTTAACATGGTAGATAAGCCTTCGTAAAGTTCATTCGTAAAGTTCATTCCAACTCATGATAATAAACATATCTGTCATCCACTTTTAAAAGTTAGTTTTATCAGTTTATATAAAATCTATGGTTGTATCAAATAAACACGACTATTTAATTATAAATGGTTCCAATTAGAAAGTTTGGTAGCTGACGTACGATATTTCAGTTGGTGAACGCTATAGCTTTAGCAATCCAGAACCGAGGAGGGGGTGGGCCTCATCAGTCCCTCCTAGACGGCAACCGTACGGAGAAGTGCCCTACTGGGATCGCTACCAAGGGAACTGAATTCGACGATATTAGTAAGTTTTATCACATTTACATCAGTCTTCAGCCCACCTGTCTTGGCTAATAGTGTACATGTGCAAGCTCGGGCTGGGCAATAGAATCTTTGTAATGATCCGTGATCTCAAGTACCTATTGAGTGAAGGAATTGAAGGTGTGGTCGGTGATAGACGTTATATTACTCTGTAGCAAAGTGATTTCTGACGTGCTATTTGCGTTCAGCTATACCCGGGTTATCAATTTTTTTCTGGTTTATTCAAAGATTTTACCTTGAATTACTTCATACCAAAAATCATGACGTATTCGGTCACAAAGACTTAGTTAGGTAGATGCACTGCACTTAGGAAGCTAACTTCAAAGATTTTCTATTTCCTTTAGTTCAATATGAAAAGTTTCTTAGGTTACTTATATTTAATTGAATAATATCTCACAGATACTAATACGCGCCCAACTGTTTGACACAAGACCTGCAGTTGCAGCCGCTCAATATTTTACTAGTTAGAAAACGAAACTCGAAAGCCTTAGCTTTGATTTGGGAAATCTCCGCTTTCGACGCCACCTTATTTGCCACATCTAATGAATCGCAAATTTATAAAAGTAAACCTAGCCGTCTATGTTCATAATTTCTCTTGGAGAATTTCTCTTTAGACTCTTAACTTGCGAACAAATTGAAGCAGCAAACTTTAGGCTAGAAACTTTATTGAATTGAAATAATCATTCCACGTAACAACGTCTTCTTCAGTTCTGTAATAAAATTGTTAAACATGTGTAAAAATTAACGACGGAAAGAAATTTAAAATAACATTAAAACAAAAACAGAGAAATAAAATTTACGAAATATGACCCAAAAAATGTAATTGCAAAAAATGTCAAAACAACAAAAAATACGACAAGAAGAAATGTAAGCTAATACAACTAAATACTGTACTACACATGATACTAAACTAATTAGTAAACGTAAAACTGGTTGTTCAGAATTCACAGTTCATGTGTAAAAACTAATGATAAAATCAGCACTTAAGCAACGATAACTCGGTTGTCATGGTTACTATCCAAGATAGTCCTATCAATACAATATTTACTAGTTAAACATCGACTAAATATTTATACAAATAACTCAACTCAGAACGATCATTCATTTCAGGACTTAACCTCAATATATACATCGCTTCTACAATCTTTCTACGAACAGTTTTACTCTGTAAATCAAGTAACTTAAAAGATAAAACTGGGGTTCGGTTAGGATGTAGAGATGCGTAGTGCTGTCCAACCCCATTCTCTGGATGTGCTCTAGGATTCCTAGCAGCCTGTCTGTGCTCCATCAGACGAGCATGGAGGCTTCTCTCAGTTTCCCCACAGTATCTCTTACCACATAACTCGCAAGTAACTAAGTAAATAGCTCCTTTTGTTGAGCATGTTGTTCCTGTGAGTCTAGGGCAGATCTCACAATTGTTAGGGTTACCAAGGTCACAAGTCTTCTTATCCAGTGGACGAGAGCGGCAGAAGATGTCCTGTAACTTCTTACCAGGTGTAAAAATAACTCTGATGGGGAGTTTGTTAGATTTGTTGTAGTTGCGAATCTTATTACAAACTGTTCCAGAGATGAATGGTAAGGTGAGTGGGACAGAGTCAGGTGTGGTTTGACGTCTTCTCCTAGTCCTCCTGTTCCTTGCGTTATGACTCAGAGGTTGGTGTCTATTTTTCTTTAAGAGATCATCGATGATCTTAACTGAATGATCGAGTTCCTGGGGTCCTGAGGAAGCAATGGTGGCATTACGGTAGAAGTTCTTCTTACACTCCTCCTTCACTGAGTCCGGGTGGTGTGACTTCTGGTGTAATGTTATCCCCTTGTTCTGGGTTTTCCTGTAGAATCTGTGGTGCACTTTTCCTTCCTCATCGATCCGGATTTCCGTACTCAGGAACGGGACAAAATCCGCAGGGGTAGACGGGAACTCGATCTCCCACTTGATTCTGTTATCGGGATCCTGGTCGGCTATGCGTTGTAACATATCCAGTGCTTCTTCTCTGGATTTGGCTAAGGAACCAGCATCATCTACATACCGTTTGTATAAGAACCGAACAGGGTTACTGATGTAATAACTGTCTAAATATATACTATTACGCTCGAATTTCCACATTCTAATAATCGCTACAGGAGGGGATGGTCTACAACCCATGAATAAACCTAAAAGTTGTTTATAAAGTCTCCCATTAAATGTAAAATAAGAATTCGTCAAAACTACTGTAAAGATACCTCTAATTTCTGATAAACTTAAACAATACGTACTTAACTTACTCCAATGTTCTTCTGCAAATTCAATAACTGTCTCAATACACTCATTGATATTCAAATTCGTATACAAAGCTGATACATCCGCTGTAAAGAACTGTAAACCTTTAAGTTCACTCTCTGGTAACCTACAGAGGATGTCCAGGTGGCTGTAGATATCGTACATATGAGTAGGTACTTCTCTCAACAAAGGACTGATAATGTCGGTAACTAACCAAGCCAACTTCTCTGTAGGTGAGCCACAACACGATACGATTGGTCTAACTTTCATATCCTCCAAGTTGATACGAGAGTAGTCAGTATCAGGTGGGAACTTGTGTGTCTTCACCAGGGTGTACATAGTAGGTAATGTAGAGTACGAGCTAATAAATATTAATAAATCCTCAATACGTGAGTCTAATTCCATATGGTTACTGCAAATAGTCCGCCACAACCTATTACACTCTGATTCAATATCTGCACATTTCTTGTTAATTTGATTCTGATACGTTATAGGAGTAGGTCGTTGAACAGGTCTGCGTACTCCGTAACTCGAACGGGTGGGCTCTACCCATTCGTAGACTCCAGAAGTGCTCTTGTTCAGGTGTTCGATCGTTAGCGTCCGGTACGTATCAACACTAGTCACGACAAACTCGCCACACTTATCAGACTTCGAGATGTGAATGTTCGGTCTTTCCTTGAGAGTACGTAGTCCAGTTCGCTGATTAAAAGTGAGGTTTGATGGTGGCTGGATATCTGGTGCTCTCAGGATGCTCATCATAAACCGGTTGAACAATTTCAAGTCCATCTCGAGTTGTGGATCTTCGTTCGGTGGTGCAGGGATGTAGGGTCGTTGAAACGGGCATTTCTTCTTGCGTGCTTGCCTGTACAAAGAATCTAACTGTCCTGGGTTCAGAGCTTCGTTAGGTTCGTTGGATTCGTTGTTACGTTTCCATCTGCACTTATACGCACATTCAGTCAAGTTCACTTCAACCTCTTTTATCAACGATTCATCCACTTTCCGAGGTAATGCGAATTGCTTCCTCAGGACCCCAGGAATTGCTTCCTCAGGACCCCAGGAACTCGATCATTCAGTTAAGATCATCGATGATCTCTTAAAGAAAAATAGACACCAACCTCTGAGTCATAACGCAAGGAACAGGAGGACTAGGAGAAGACGTCAAACCACACCTGACTCTGTCCCACTCACCTTACCATTCATCTCTGGAACAGTTTGTAATAAGATTCGCAACTACATCAAATCTAACAAACTCCCCATCAGAGTTATTTTTACACCTGGTAAGAAGTTACAGGACATCTTCTGCCGCTCTCGTCCACTGGATAAGAAGACTTGTGACCTTGGTAACCCTAACAATTGTGAGATCTGCCCTAGACTCACAGGAACAACATGCTCAACAAAAGGAGCTATTTACTTAGTTATTTGCAAGTTATGTGGTAAGAGATACTGTGGGGAAACTGAGAGAAGCCTCCATGCTCGTCTGATGGAGCACAGACAGGCTGCTAGGAATCCTAGAGCACATCCAGAGAATGGGGTTGGACAGCACTACGCATCTCTACATCCTAACCGAACCCCAGTTTTATCTTTTAAATTACTTGATTTACAGAGTAAAACTGTTCGTAGAAAGATTGTAGAAGCGATGTATATATTGAGGTTAAGTCCTGAAATGAATGATCGTTCTGAGTTGAGTTATTTGTATAAATATTTAGTCGATGTTTAACTAGTAAATATTGTATTGATAGGACTATCTTGGATAGTAACCATGACAACCGAGTTATCGTTGCTTAAGTGCTGATTTTATCATTAGTTTTTACACATGAACTGTGAATTCTGAACAACCAGTTTTACGTTTACTAATTAGTTTAGTATCATGTGTAGTACAGTATTTAGTTGTATTAGCTTACATTTCTTCTTGTCGTATTTTTTGTTGTTTTGACATTTTTTGCAATTACATTTTTTGGGTCATATTTCGTAAATTTTATTTCTCTGTTTTTGTTTTAATGTTATTTTAAATTTCTTTCCGTCGTTAATTTTTACACATGTTTAACAATTTTATTACAGAACTGAAGAAGACGTTGTTACGTGGAATGATTATTTCAATTCAATAAAGTTTCTAGCCTAAAGTTTGCTGCTTCAATTTGTTCGCAAGTTAAGAGTCTAAAGAGAAATTCTCCAAGAGAAATTAAGTTCAAATGCGACTCATAAATATAGCCCCCTTGAACTATGTCTATGTTCATGTTTCTGATTCTTATCATACCAAATTAGGAGATGAGTTTGAGGCGACATTACGACAGTATACACTTATCGTATAACCATGATTAGAGACCGCGGCGGTTTAGTTAAGTCGTAAGAATCCGCAAATCTTATATCTTATCAGATCGACATAAAGTCACTGGTTTAAGGAATATGATTGCTGTTTTACGTGGTATTTTACTGCCCCGACGTTATATTTCGATCACAAGAGGTCCAGGGCCGGGGTAAATAGTGGTAAAAATATCGAACCCAAGAGTGGCCCAACGCACAGAAGCTCCACAGAATATAGAAACTGTGTTCAAGAGTAAACTTGCCCTTAATAACTCTTGGGATAACCATTTCCTGTCATCCCAATATTCATCTACAATTTTTATCGATACTAACTACTAAGTCCTAACTAGATTTTAACTTTTTAATTTCATATATAAATATTGGTGCAATGTGTTCATTTAGGCAGAACTTGTACGTATTACATAACTACATAACTTCTAGACCAAATATTTCATTACCAAAAGCCGTTGAGCATAAATTAAAGATGCGACACGGACATCTTTAATCTTTAATACAGAACTGAAAATAATTATCATGATTAGATTTTATGATTGAGAAGCTGTACCGTAAATTGCTCGCAGAAATAGTCCATCTTTCCGAGTCCGAACCGGCGAACCTGGCAAGTGTTCCTGCGTATTATAACTACAAGTACTTACATTTCTTATGCAATCACTTACCAGCCACCTAGGTTCCAGACTCCAGACTCTCATATCTGGTCTGTTGAAACTATATAAGACACCGATCAGTCACTAATCAGTCACTATTTCAGTGCATTTCGGGGACGACATCTCAATTGCCAAGTCACAGTTGTACAGCATCATCACCAAGGCGAGGAACTGCGCTCACCCTCAAACAAAGCTCATCACCATGCTGGTTAAGAACCTGATCCCAGATTACGAGGGGAAGAGTTACACTCGCCTGGATCCTAGTCACACCAACATCCTGCGGAGTAAGTTGCTTGCGGAGTGAGCTGTTCAATCAATGAATGCACAAAGTAATCTGCTAGATCATGCTCCTTGAATAATTATTCCTTTTTCATACTGTAGCAAATTCGCCAAAATTGAAGTGATCTTTCATGTACAACGAAACGGAAAGTTTCTAATGATTGAAATCGCAATTGCGTTCTCGGCGTATTAGATTGGGACTAGATTATAAAAACGCGATTAGCGGAAGAGAAGATAGGACTCTTTTTACAGCTCAACTGTACTTTTTTATTCACAATCCTCGATGTAAATATGTATCATGGATTATTTTACTAATTCAGATAACTGTTCAGGTTTATATTTCACTGTATTCCCGGTGGATGTTGATGACAATGTTGTAGATGATGATATGCGGGAGCGAATTAAGACACGTATTGAGGAGGAGATATGGCAGAAGCTCAAGGTGCGTCAATTTGCCGCTCTTTAATATCAGTCTGATGCAAGTTTAAAGTCGCTCAATGCCATGCCAGTTTAATGTGCTTTTAACACCTTTTATGCATATACAGTTCAATATTCAGCTGATATATATATATATAGTTTAATTGCTCAGTTTCAAGCTAGATAAGTATATAATATTCTTAGTTAAATTACTCAACTTCCATCCACCATATTAACCCAGGTAACAATAACGGATTGTTGTCGTAAAGCAAAGCCGAAGCCAGCAGTGCCAGCAAGTACCACCTACTACCCCACCCACGTACCTCTCCCCACCATCTCCGCCTCCGGGAGCCGGAGTCTTTCTCCCAACCTCACTCAGGCTATAAACTCTCACATCTTCAGGTAATTATATCCTGGTTATAATGTCTTCATGTAGACTTTGCTCTTGTTGCGTTTTACCTGCACAAGTGCACATATTTAACACTTTAACAGAGATGTCAGGGTTAAGTTAAGAACAAAGTTAAAGTTTTAGACGTGAGTCTTCAGGACCTCTCCCAAGTCCTAACATACTAACTTACCTCGTGACCTCCCGTCCTGTCGAGACTGCTTGACATGACTCTAATAATACCAACAATTTAACTAACAGATGGTATCATTTCAGCACACTGTCTCACCAGTCGTTCAATGCTGCCACAACCCTCGCCATGTCCAACCCCTCTGCTCTATCCATGGTTAACACCATCAAAACAGAGGGCAACCACCATTAGCACGTGTCTCACCTGATGTCCTTATTTGGTCATCCTCAGTGCGGTGTTGAACACAGAGTTGTACAACCCTGCTGCTGATTTTCTCAACTCACCGCTCCCCGATACAATCACGTGACCTTTGTTTCCCCCGCATGACGTCATTACAGACATGAACTTATCTTGATGACGTCATCATGACACGTGACGTCATTAATATGATGTTGTTTTGCCCGTCAAATAACCCGAAGGAATGAACGCAGGAATAAAAAGTAAACGGACTGGTGCCGGTTAGTTGCTGGTTCATTGCTGTGTTGTAGGGGAGATCAGACTTGAAAATCACTGCTGGGACAGCTGTCCCCAGTATCCGATAGGTGGGTTGGTTTTGGGTTTATCCGTAGGTCTAGATTTGGAAAATTAAACTCGGCTGATCGGCAGATGGGAACCAATCATCGATTTTTTAATCGTGTGACGTCATTTCTCCGCGTGACGTCATCAAATCTATTTTTCGTATGTATGGTTACCTACTGATTTTCAGATTATACACATCTTATTTTCGATCAGCCGGTGTGAATGAAGTCTCAGTGTGTATTATATGTGGCATAATTCTCATAAATTATGCAGATGATGGAGAGTATCACAATTAGTAATTCTCAGCCAATTACTTAATTAGTAATTCTCAGCCAATTACTTAATTAGTAATTCTCAGCCAATTACTCGATTACTCTTTTCTTATAATTCGGTGTCTCTCTAAATATACGTGTGCTCTATTGTTAATTATGTTTTTACTATTTTGATAGTGCTTAAAACTAGTTTATACTCGACACTAAACTCTGCTAAACCTTAATGTTAAGTGTTTCTGATGTAAAAGGGGGCTGCGCTAAGAATTATCCTTTACGAGGTGCAATTAATCTACTAATTACGTAACTATAGATTAGGTTAGGTTTGTTTTGGACTAAAATAATTAAAATATATTTTCTAAAATATCTTAAATAATTTTTTTTCTTGTTTCTAGGTAACTGTTAAAATGAAGACAGTGTTTTAGTTTGTAAAAATTATACGATCCTGTTTTCAAACGCTTGCTCGAGAAGCGGGATTCTTGTTAATAAGATTAATGATTGTATTTCAATAAATTCTTGGTAATATAATATATTTTGAAAAATTGTGTTTAAGTAAAATTGTCAGAATTTGAGCGTTGTGAATTGTCAGAATTATAAATTATTTATTGTTTAATTTATGTGTATCTCGCAAAATTATTGATTGTATTATAGATTTCGATGGAGTATATATAATCCGATATTGCTATTATATTTTTGATAGACTTTAAAATAACCAATTTATTAGGTGGGAAGGCGTATACAGTCCCTTCAAAGCATTTCAAATTTTCCTACTCAACATTGTTTGATAGGAAAAATAAACCGAACAACGCGATATTTTCCGTGCAACAAAAATGTACTAAATTTTGTCAGGGACTGTAAAATCCTACTTCAGTTATCTCAAACTGCAAATATATTTGCAAAACAAAATCTAGCCGAATGATCTCTCTTTTTATCATATTATAATGTATATTGTATGATTTTATAGGCATCTTTAAAATTGTTAATTCTCTCATTTTTACAGCAGTTCTTACTTAACTAAAACGCATGCTTCTTTTTAGCTACTAAAATTTGCTAAGATTTTTATGGGTTATAAATTCAGCTTATGTATAATATTGTGCGTGTCTCGAATTTTAGTTATTTTTCGTATTGAATAAAACGATTTACTAAACATCCTTTACCTTCATGTATACTTATTACTTATTAAAACCTATCGTTACTTTATATCAATTGTGATCAAGTTTATTCTTAAGCGTAAACCTAATACGATATAGTAGAACTTAAGCACTAAAGTGATTTAGTCTATTCTGTAAAATGTGGACTCTATTGAAAGATCTCGTGTGAATTGTAGTACTATATGTTTTAAATTGGAAGTTGATATTATCATTGTAGTCTCATATTTTCGAATCAGGCTATTTGTTCTCAGTTTTTTATTGAGGAACCCCATCTTTCACATTTGCTGGTTGTTTAATAACAGAAGAAGGGATCTCCAGATGTGTGCGGATATAATTAATGTGTTAAGTGGTATAATATTATAATTATGTATGATATGCACACTTTGTTGTGGCTGTCAGCGGAATTGCAAAAATTTACGGTGTTTATTAGAATTTTTCATTTGCACAATCACGCCTGGTGAAGACACTGTCACGGCCTGATGAAGCCACTGTCACACTCATTAACGGTGTCATACTGGTCATGTTGTCACGGTAATGCTACGCTTTAAGTAGCCTTATCTTTTACTTGTTTATTCGAGATAATGATATAATCTGTTAAATCCGGAGGAAAAGTCATGATGAACACACTGATCTATTACTTAATAAAAGTAAGGGAACTAGGTGCGATTTAGCACCCTCAATATGGTCTTATTGCACTGATGACCGTTCTATAAGATACAAGGAAGAATGAACGCCCCATGATTACATTTACAGTTTATGAGCGGGCCCTTTGTGCGTTATGTAAATATGGTGAGGAACAGTTTCAAGTCCGACCACTTATTTAAATCAGACAGGGGCGTGTGAAGATATTCTGCTGTGTAGAAAGTCGAAACGTGCGCTACAGAATATAAATTGAAATATCGAACGTGAAAGTGAAACTGCAAGAAATTGTGTTATGGTTGCCAAAAGCTGGAGAATTTCGTCGCATAGATCGCTTTAAATCAAATAAGCCGTAGTTCAGGTGTTTTCCTGGAAACCAGTGTCCAGTACTATCACAGAACTAGAAATAGGTGAAAGGTGAGAGGTGACCTTCCTCCGTGAGATGTGTGTGTGAGAGAGTGGTGATGCAGTCACTGCACGTGCAGAATTCAGCAGAATATAATTGTAACCCATTTTTATGTCCTTACTCTGGGTAAGGAGTGTGTTGTACGTGTCGGTACAGTGGAATAACAGAAACAGCACCCACAAGCCAGTACCCACTCCAGTGAACTAGTGTGATAATTTCCGGTGGTAAGTTGAGAGTTGCAGAATTTATATCACTCAAACTTGGATAACTGTGAGATAAAATTACTTAAAAAGGGCCTTCCTTCGACCTACAACATTAAAAACATCGGTACTCCTAGATCATGAATGTTTTTCCTCCCGACGTTTACACTATTTTCCTGTTAATGATCGCAAAATAGTTATGTTCCCTTTAGCGATCCTGTGTGTTAAATATTACATGTCTTACTAAACCACATACCTAAAATAGTTGTACAGAACAGCCGGCCGGTCATCAAAAATTGCTCAAAAAGAAGAAGTTCTAAAATTAATTTAAGATTCATTTCTTACTACGATTATTCTATTTTTTGTTACCTAAAAAACACTTAAAAAAAGAGCAATTTTTGGGGGATCGGTGCTAAATACAGTTGCTATCTTGAAGTTTTTAAAAGTTTAGTGTAAATTACTAAAATACCTTTATACATTTTGTTTCTTCCTAAAACCCGTCTTAGAGTACTACCTTTGTGATTACAGTCCAATATAAGAAGCATATATTATGTACTGGTGTGTTCTTGTAGAGCTCCCAACTCTCAACGGCTCAATTTATCATCTGAGGTTTTCCTTCCCCGTGTGCAATTTTTCACTCTTATAAAGATCGATTTAGAGAAGAAAACCTAGGATGGAGATTTGGCCGTAAAACTGTGCCTCCGTTTAGAATTTCTTGATTCTATAAAATTCAAATCATTATCATTCCTTGGTCTCTATAACCAATAAGCATACTTTTTTACTCCAAAAAAGTAAAACAAAGATAAACGAAGGCTCTGTTTAAATGTTTTGTTATCAATCAAGATGCTATTTTTCAAAATGGAAGAGTATTGTGATGAAGCAAGGATGGCGGTTGCTATTATATTTGAAAATGTAAAATCCCGTGTCTTTTGTAAAATATTTCAAATATTATGATGATCTTCCTTTTCTCAGCTGAAAAAATTCTTGGGAAACTTCACGAATTATATGTGATGATTTGGCAAAAATGTATAATCCACAAATTATCCTAAAATTGCAGAAATTGTAATTTTAGTTGTAGCAACTCCCATTAGACACGGGCATCGTAAAATTATATTTAAATTTCTAAATCTTTTAGTTTTAATCGTGGGTAGAATGCAAGGGTTACCAATTCTTTTATTTAATGAGAGCTTAAAAGAAGAAAGCCAGAGGCTGTTACAAATGTTGTCTCCCTCGATATCATCGTGTAATGACACTGGCCAATATTCGTCATTCTGAATGGTGATCGTGTTTTTAGGTCTAATATTTATCTGATTAAGATTTATGTTTTTGGACCTAGTAATTCAGTCTCTCGGCTTTCTGGATATATTGAAGAAAAAATGTTTAATTTCTGTTTATCAATTGTAAAAACAGCTTCGCTGTGTTAGGATGAGTTTCACTGCTTTCATACCTTTTTGATCCACCAGACAAACAAAAACTCTCACTCTCCACTAGTCAGTGTGCTTTTTGATCCTCAATTTATTCAGAAATCCCTTTTTCCCGGCACGCTTTGTAGGTCCATCTGTATTAAATCTCTTTGAAATGAGAGTTTGATAGCTGCACACCACTCCTTGTGTCTCTGGTACCTCGCATTATCTTGCGAGGACGGGGCTATTGTTATATTTCCATTCTCCGACCTATGATATCACACTGTTCCCCACTGACACCATTGTTGTGTCCGTGACCAGTACATCTGGACTCACTCACTAACCCCTCGCCGTCCTGGACACACAAACACCGCTATTGTCCCTCTGTTCAGTAATTCCACGCTGGGGGAGGCGACCCTTTCATTGGACAATCAGCCGGCTACATTTCCAAATCTCATATATCAACTTAATAACCCCAGAATGTGTGTGTGTCTGTCTGTGTGTCTGTCTGTGTGTAATTTCCGAACGGTTATACAAAAAAAACAGTAATAGTTACGGGACTGGTTTTTTTGGTATAGTCCCGACAAAACTCTGATGAAGCCCATAAGCAAATTTTTTTTAAATCGGCCGATGGTAAGTGGTTTAATTGATGGTTTTGTACCACAAAATATGTTCCATAAAATGGCTTGAGAAGAACGGCAAGAGTTACGGGGCTAGCTCTCTCTCTCTCTCTCT